ACTAAATGGCCTTTATTCGAAGTTTCTCAAGAACCATTCGAGCCACAGAATTCGTTTTGGCATCGTTGGATAGAGAATTGAAAAGTCCATTCAGTAGTAACAACGAGAGTGAGGAAGTTTGAGCAGTTTTGACCCAGAAAGCGAAATTTGGATATCAGACACTTAGGTGCAAGATTATGCCAAAATTCCATGTTTTCCGTCCCGTTTGTACTCATATCTCGGAGGCAAAATGAGCAAGAACGCTCATTTGTACATCATTCTAGACAGAAATAAATCAGCTTTTCAGAAAGTGAACCATCTGACAAATCTGACAAAAACTTAAAAAAATAACCACCTACAACATTTGTCGTTAAAAAAGCAAGTATAACCAAAAGGGAGACTTGGCAAATGCGCGAAATTTTTGAACTGTCATGTGTCACCTTATGGAAAAGTGGTGAATTTCAATGAGTGAAAAATGATCAGAAACCGCAATTCCACTAAAGAAAGTTCTTAACAGTGAATTTTGAAGCTCTTTTTAGGTCTGTATTTATCATTTCTCAAAATTCGAAATTGCTCATGGAGCCAGATTCTTTGGCTCGATCCTTTTTGATTTTTGTGGGGCTCATTTTCGGGTGCAGTCACACGCAATGTCACTTCACGACATAAAACGACCCATAGAACATAAATAAAGGGATAAACAGCAGAAAAAACTGAAATAAACGTAAAATTTGCCAAAAACTTACTCAGCGCCGGTCTGCAGGTGCATGCTCCTTTGCAAGGAACCGTAATCTCGTATAACTCACATAAAGTCAGCGCTGAGAACTCACTAAACAATTTTCGGACAAGCAAACAAAGTAAACAACCAAACAAAGCAGAAAAAGCATATTTTCGGACGAAAATCGGCACGAAAATTGAAAAAACTTCTAAGAACGTCACTTGACAAAAAACCGACAGATTCCAAGTTCCACACGTTTTCCAGGGTTGCCAGGTAGATGCTTTCCCACAAAAAGTCCATAAACCCCACAACAAAACCTGTTTCAACCCAAAGTTCCAATCCGTACCATACAAAACGTTTGTTTATATTGAAAAAACTCTATATCTATTAATTTCTAGACCTAGATGTTAAACGCGAAAGTGCACATTGCTGCCATCTGCAGTTACACACTTCAGATGCCCAACAATTTCCGCAGCTTCCTACTTCACCTAATGTCAGGCTGAAAAGCACTTAACCAAAAAGTAAAATAAATGTCTGTCAAAATCAGTGTTCGTGTTCTACATGCCCCCAAAAATAAGTGTAAACACGTTTCTTTTGTTTATTATTAACCACGCATCGTTTCACCGACTACCTAAGGCCAATTTCCATTGTTTCGTTTAGTGGCTGAGCCGAAATCCGACCGAATGTCTGCATAATAGGTCAAGAGGAGCAGGGATATACCATGATTTCTTCACTGATATTTTGACTGTGAAAATCTCCAGGTTGGAGTAAAGGCGAATAAATCGCGGATAATGCTAGCGAGATTTAGCTGATAAGCCCATCAGTTCGCAACCACATCAATGGAATCCATCAGGAAGTGGCTGTACAAACCAAAGGTAAATATGTTACAATTTTTATTAATCATTTCTAGGGCAAATGGTGGTTTTTCTTGTTATCTGGACAAGTCCCCCAGTAACCTTCGCGTGGAATTAACTGTTCAATGTTCTCGTACCCCAAGAGCAGGGATTTTCGGAATTTTATTGCACAAATGGGGCAAATTGAGAGTTGATCAAGCAGTTTCACTTTCTACATTAATTATTTATGAGTTGTTGTGTTGTTCATGCACAAGGTGTTTACCACTGGATGACCAATTGTTTGCAGTAGAGCAATAACACACAGTATCAGATAGGAAAACAATAACTTTGTCTCATTGGAAAATTCTATAACAAATCGCTCTCAAGGAAATTGTTGCTTGATTTTTACCTAGTGTGTTGTGGGTACTGTTAGCAGCACTTAGCACCAAAGTGTTAACTATCGCAACAATTAGGAACCCTCAAAACGCCTGACAAGTTGGGAATTATTTCCGAAACTTGACTCTCACTTTTGCACTGTTAACTCAAGCTAGAATGGAAAACCCCCATTACTAACTAGGTAGTTATGGTTAAGTTTGGCTGGTTGATACATAGGATAAGTAGTTTTATGTGCTCTACGGTAGGAATCTAAGCGTTTCACTGTGAACAATCAGCACACTTTTCCTAGTCTCTCGTCTAGACTAAAAATCATTCTAGGCGAATGTTTGAGTAGATGACGATCGCGATCACACCTACCGTACATCGTAAATAACCATATAATTAAGAGTAATTCCACTGTAATTCTATGTGATCAGGCCGGAAAATTTGGCAATATCCCCAGACTTGCACCTTGGGACTTTAAATCGAACGTTCCTTCCAAGGTCTTGGTGGCAAGGCATTGAAAATGTTCCGCATAATTAAACAGTTGAAAATGCTAATCAATAGGTGCGATAAAACAAGATCTACCATTTCGCTGGTCAATATCAAAGCGATCATTAATGTTTAACTTGGATGCACGTATGCACAGGGTGGCCCGCCTTATTCGGTTGCCATCGATGTTTGTTAAAATAGTCATGCTGCCGCGGTTTTGCAACAATCTGGTGGGTTTTTCGGGGTTTTAGGCCGAACAACACATGGACAGAAACAAATTCTTTTGCAAGGTTCCCCAGCTAATTTTCGAAAGCTTGCCTTAAAGAACTTATCGTTATTTACTCAATTCATCAACAAACTTATCAGTCTATGAAGGCTTTGAAGCCCTGGTCCATGGGAATTTGTTCCGGACGTTTCGTCCACAACTGCGATGGACATTATCAAAGGCGATGAGGCAGAGGGCGAAGTGATCTCGCGTGCTTTCCGTTTTAGTCGGAAAGCACCGGAGATCACTTCACATTTTGAAATGTTTTTCGGGCTTTGAAGCCGTGGTCCATGGGAATTTCTTCCTGACGTTTCGTCCACAACTGCGGTGGACATTATCAAAGGCCTCATCGC